GATTCAATTCCTCGTACCTCCTTCAAAAAAAATTAAAAAGTAGAAAGTAATATGAATTTCAGAAATAGGGACTCAATTTTGTGTTCCATTTTAGACATTCGGTTGGAGAAAACCAGGTTCATTAAGATTGCAAAAGAGTACGTGGCTTTCAGTAAGCATTCACAAATTCATGAGACTGGAATCTGTCCATGGTTCTCAGCCCTTTCTGTGCATTGGCATCTCCTGGAGAGTTTTGAAATGAAACTGATGTGGAGCCCCTAATCCTGGGTTTCTGTTTCACTGATCTTAGGTAGGGCAAGGGCGTTGGTATTTTTCTAAAAGAAAAAAAAGAAATCCTTCCAGGTAAATCAGCTTAGCAGCCAATGTTGGGAACCACTGATTGCTCTTTTAAGTTGATGAATTCTTTAGGGGACACGGTGTGGTGTGGTTCTCAGCCCTGACTGCACACAGTTAGAACACTTGGGTAACTTCATACAAACAAATCACCACCCCCCTGCTCCATCCTTCCCTCTGAGATTCTGGAATAGGGTCCACCTTACCATTTCTAAAAATCACAGTTGAATCTGACCTGTAGCCAAGTTGAGAAACACCGATGCCGGGGGGCGGCGGGGGGGAGTGTAGAGAGAGGCTCAAGGAAAAAGCTCAGTATTACCTGAATTCTCTTACTTTACCACCAGTTAAACTGTCTTCCTCCCCCCTCCAACTTTGCTCCTCCATACTTTATAAAAACAGCAAGAAACTAAAACGTGGTAGCCATGCCTCTAGTCTTATCTTAAATGACTTCTTCAAATTGCCTGGAATGGAGAGATAAACTGGGGTTACTTTAACTGCCAGCAGTGTCTATGGTAAAGGTTCTGGGGAAATAAGGAAGATGTTGCACAGAGCCAGAGCTCATGGAGAGTTGGAATGTCAGTCAGTATACCGTGGAGTAACTGGTTCTCTTGGCCCCTCCCTTTCCCTCATCCTCTGTGCCTCTGTGACTTTCTGCTACTGCTCCACTGCCCCTGTGTCTCCACCGCACTGGCTCTTTGCTATTTGTTGAACATAAGTGTGTTCCTACCTCAGGACCTTTGCACTTCTTGCTTCTTCTGCATGAAACACTTTGCCGCTGGGTATCTTTGTGACCTACCCTCTTCACTCAAGTTTCTGCTCAAATTACACCTCATCAGGGAGGCCTTCCCTAACCAGTCTCTCTAAAATATGCATGTCATTATTCTTTAAAGCTGCTTTTATTTTCCTCATAGCACTAATCACCTCCTAACATTTATTTATCCATTTATTCCTTTGCACTGTTTTTCCCCCTCAATAAGAGGACTTTACTTGTTTTGTTCCCGGAGTTCCTGGGCGCCTACAGCAGTACAGGTACATAGTAGCTCGAAATTTTTTAGGTTGCATAAACAAATAACACTTGCACACAGCGGCTATCATGTGTTCTTGGCTCACAGTGAGTGTGACCAAGAAGGAAGGGCTGAGCTGGATGCATCTTAATATCTCCTGTGCTTGCTCAGTGCAGTGCCTGAGCCACTGTGCTGGTGCAGTCAGTGTTCTTGAGTGAATAAGGCAAAATACTAAGAATAATGATGACGAAGAAAGAAGAGTAAGGGAAGGGAAAAGAAATCACCCTACGAGGCAAAGACATAGTCTTGTTTTAAAAATACTCTATGCAGATTGTCATAGAAATAAACTTGTTTATCTTCCATTGCCTGTTGGTGCCCTGGCAGGAAGCATTACTGGAAAGCCTAGAAATTCTGAAAGTATCATACGCAGTTGGCTCCTTGTTGATTAGCTAATGATAGAATTGATTAGCTAATGATAGTACTGATTAGCTAATGTTGGAAACAGCAGCCGGAAGGCTGAACTTTATTTTACTTTGGAAGAACCATGGAAATGATTGATTTTTGTCATTAAAAAAAAAAAAAGCCCAGATCTGTTGCCTTGGCAATATTTAAGATGTATTTCGAATTCATGGACAGAAAACTCACCCCTCTCTTCACACTCTCTCTGCTCCATTTTCACCTACTTTCTTTCTGTTTTTGTTTTGTATCTTACTACTCTCCCCAGTTACCAAGAAATTTTAATTTACAGTTTTAATAGGTGAAAAGTTGCATTAAGTTTGTTTTACTATATGGTTCCAGATTTTTCTTAGTCCGGGATCCCCCAGCCACTAAAGGAAAGCTAACCAAAGCAAAATCACAAGTGCTTCCTTGCATGAGAACATTACCAAACCCAGGTTTGGCTGCTCATTACTGAAAAGCCAGTAATTGGAGAGGAAAGGTTCTTTAATCAGAAAAGCTGGCAATCTGGGGAGAAGGTTGACTCATGTCCAGAGACCAACTCTGAAGAGTCTGCTCAGCCATGACAGTTTTTAAAGGAAAAAATGGGGGCAAGAATCTCAGTGGATCATCGAGGCAGGAGGCTGGGTTCTGCTCACTCTCCACTGGGTGCAGGCTGGCTGACTCTCTTCAGATGTTACCTTGCCCGTGTGATCTGCCTACAGGATTGTTAAGGGAGTTGTTGAGGGTAGAGAGCTAATCTTTCTTTAACTACTTCTTCATTCTTACTTCTTTTTATCTGGGAAGAGAATCAACAGATAAGGTCAGACGTGTGCACTCAGGAGAGCGTAAGTCAGGAGTTAGTTTCAATTCTTAGTGATCCATTCCTGTAGTTAGTTTCTTTTAAAGTTATTGGCGGACAGAGACGGGCAAAGAGGAAAGGGGCAGAAGAGCTGCTTTCAAGTCCTCACTGTCAAACATCATTCCATTTTTATGGAATTAAGGGCAAAAATCCATCTTTAACTCCTTCACGCTTCATGCTGATGTAGGGCACCACCCTCTCAGTAAAAGATGTCAATGTAGGTCTGTGGCGTCTTTGCTGACAATTTTAGTTGCCCACTTACATAGACAGGCAGAGCAAGCTGCAAGTATTTTGATGCCCACAAAGATGCCATTATGAGCAATAATGTTAATCCCATTCTCTTGAGACCAGTTGTTAGAATTGTGCTGGCCACAGGTCCAGTACCGCTCAGAATGGAGTCATCTGTGTCATGCTGCAGTCTGGCCATCATACAGTTGGCTTTTCCCCCCTCCTCTGGTGGCAGTTATAATATTTGTACAACAACTCAGATGTCTATAAAAAGAACTCAGAATGTACATCAGACACTGAGTATGTGACTCTATTGTTTTAATCGTGGTCGGCTTTGTACCTGGGGGCTCTTCAGGGTTCTGCTCAGATCCAAGAATACTGTGACATCATTCATTGATAAAAAGTTGATGTTAGAATTTCACTCGCTTTATTTCCGGGCCGTCTTCTGTGAATGAGTGTCATTCATTACGGAGTGCGTCTGAGTTTAGCCAAATGTTATTTTCAGCATTTAAGAAAACCTTTTTTACTGTCGGTGTGCCAGGCCCCGTGCTAGAGTTGGAGACTTCAATGCAAATACTCTGGCCAGACTTCTTATCTAAAGAGTCTAAAATAGTTGACAAACTTTTTTAATGGGCCACATCATAAATATTTTAGGGTTGAGGTCATCAGGTTTCTGTCACAGCTAACGGGCTATGCCATCTTTGAAGGTAAAAGAATGGTGTGACTGTTCGAACAAAACTTACTTACAAAGCAGGCCTGAAGGCTGCACTTGCCTGCAGGTGAAATTTACCCAACATCCTACCTTATCCAGAGGATAAAGGGAGAAAACTGGGATTCAAAGGTCAGAACAATTTAGGTGGAATATATCTCTTAAATTGACTTTTCTTGCACTTATTAAAGGGTTTTAAGTTAACTTACTTGGATTAAATACTGATAGAAGAAAGTCAGTTTTCCCCCCAGTTTTGCATTTTACTGGCATATTCCAAAGTAGCGTTACTAGGCTGGCCTGAAGTGACGTCCCTAATGCTTTAGCTTCATTGTAATGTGAGCTGTCAGATTGTTTCAAATACATTTTGAGCCTGAACGTTATTCTAAAAATAACTTAAAAAATCATTCATAAGAAGGCAGCTATAAAGCTGTGAATTAATCAAAAGTAATTAAATCACTTAAAATACTGATAAGAGCTGATGATACAAATTAAAGTTTTGTATTTGATTTTGGGGGGAAATGACAGCTTTTGTGTTTTGAAAGAAGTGGAGTTTGACCTTCCTTGCAACCTGTTTTACAGGATGAACCTGTCCTTGGTTAATTTTATTTTTTAATGGGCTGAATTCCCGTGTGGTTTTTGGGATCTTGTCGTAAAGTTACTGACGCTATTGTCTGAGATCCGGATGCTTACACGCAAGCTGGCTGTGGAGAGCTGGGGAAATGGGGCTGTTGGAGTTGTTTCCTATCACTCTTATTTATCTTTCTTAGAATAAGGAGTCCTTTGTTCCCTGTTTCCTCAACACAGAATAGAGGATTTATATCTTACTGTTCAATCCCTACTTCTGTTTTCAACAAGGGAAACATTTGCTTCACTTTTCTGCCTTCTGCACGGTACCCAGAGGGTTTTGAAATCTTAAGCCAAGAATTCTTTGGAGGAGCTGGAGTGTAACCATCCAGGGAGGCTGGGTTCCTAATGACATTCGCTTTAGTTTAACAAGTCATTGTGAGTGTTGCTCTTTTTATTAGAAGACCTCCCCCCCAACCCCCGACTTCTTCTATTCATGTTCTACATGGGTCCTGTGATGGGAGTGAAGAAGAGATTGTGGTTCTTTCAACATCATTTTTACTCCATCTATTATTTTGTCCCAGTTTCTCAATGTCACAGAATTTGGGTTCCAATATTTGCTAGGCAGTGTACATTGCAGGGATTTCAGACAACGACCCACATCCTGAATGCAGGCATGATTTGTTTGGCTCACACAGTGTTGTTACATTTCTGAGTGAGTTGCCAACATTTGAAAGTCAAATGACTTCACTTTTTAATGGCCGATGACTTAAGTCGTTTCTGTCTATATGCCCTCTGTATCATCTAGCCAGTGGATGAGGATGCTCAGTTACTTTTCTTTAATGGTGTCGATTCTCGTCCCCAGGCTAAAGATCTAATAATCACACCAGCCACCACTTTCAAGGAAAAACCAGACCCTAGTACTCTGGTTTTCGGAACTGTTTTCACGGATCACATGTTGACCGTGGAGTGGTCCTCAGAGTTTGGATGGGAGAAACCACATATCAAGCCTCTTCAAAACCTGTCGTTGCATCCAGGCTCATCGACTTTCCATTATGCAGTGGAAGTAAGTACCTGGGAATCAGTGATAATGACATGCTTGGTCTTCACTGTGGGTGTTAAATAGCTCCCACCTGCCAAGATAGCTTTAAGGCAGTATGGACTTTGCCGTATTAACTAGCGGCAATCGTAAATGTCCCGTAAATAGTTGGATTGAAGGTAATTCTTAAGTACTAATTTTTCAGATAATCTTAATTTTTTTATATTTTATATATTTTATATCTATATTTTTATATTATTATATTTTTTAAATTTTCAATTAGAAAGCATTTAGGTGGTGAACATGCTGCAGGGTGTATGGAGATAGAAATATAATGTATGCATGAAACTTGTAACATTGGCTTATAGTATTATTTTTAAAATTATTTAGAGCAGATGGGAAGGACAAGTGGTAAGAAAATTAGTAACCAAAAAGCCAGTACTGTTAATATTGCATGAACTCGCCTTTCTCAGATCTTCTAATGATTGAGAAGGGGTCATCGAGTACAATATCATATTTAGATGTTAATGCTAACTGCATGGTTTTATGACAGCAATCATTTGTAGTTATGCATGTTAAGAGACATGTAATTAAATGCCATCCTTCGGGCATGAATGAGATAATTATAAGCATAAAATATTAAATATTTAGGGAATGCTTTCTCTGGTTCTTCTCAGGGTACACACCTACCTAGATTTACAACACCCCATTCCGTCGACCCCCAGGACATTTCATTCATTTTTGTGTTTTAGCCGTTATGGGTTGGATATCTTTCCAACATATTGGAAATATGGAGAATATTGGGGTGCAGGAGTTAAGCAATGGCCTTCTTAATAAGGGACTAAAAGATGGTAATAATAAATATTCATAATAATTGTTAATTATCATAAATTTTATTGAAATCCTGCAATATGCCCCATACTGGGTACCTCATATGGGTCATCTCATTTAATCGTTTTGAGTGAGAAAGCATCTGGTGAATCATTCTGGTTCTAGGGTCGAACTTCCTGGGCTCAAATTCTGTCTACAGTCATATTTATTTTAACCCCAAAATCAATATATGCATAATCTCCTTGGCCTTCTTTCTCCTCCACGTATCAGCCCTATTGATTTTAGGATCTGATGGGTTTTATTTTTAGGGCTACTAAAATAGGCTATTGATTTGAAAGTTATCTTCTGATAGACATATGAAGGTTTCAAATAGTGAAGGAGAGAAATAGGAACAGTGAGGGGAACTGGAGGAAAGAAAATGAAATTTTATAGTAGGTACTTCATTTTCAGGTTGAAATAAATTACTTGTGAGATAAAACATAATTTGGAAAAAAAGGGCAACAAGTACTATTTAATGAACACTTACAAATGCGGCTGATACAGTGTGCATCCGGGTGGAGAGACGGATCCCCTGAGCATCCCAGCAGCCTTCTTGTGTCCCTCCTACGTCATAAACCCTGCATCTTCTGGCTCTCATTGTGGTTACTTCTGTGATGACTTTGCTTTTCTTTTTAAATTATATGTATCTTTGACACTACAGTTTGCCTCTTTTTGAAGTGGAATTGTAATGTGTATGTGTGTGTGTGTTTCTGATGTTTGAGCTTAATGCTACGTAAGGTCTATCTATCCAGGACCAGCTCTAACACCTGTGGGCCCTGGCACAAGAGCACACACAGAAAGGCCCTGTAGTCCACCCTCTCTCTCGTTCTGTCCTGGCTCCGTCCTGTACCACAGAGGGCCTCACACACCCGTGCAGATGCCTGCACCACCTGCTGACAGATGGCCCTTGGCCATTCTTTGGACTTCGATGTGGGCATCCAAGTGGTGCTCTCTGTTCTTAGAAGGATGAGCGTGAGGAGGCCTTGAACGTGGGCAGGGACTTCTAGGGGACTGGGCACCTGGAGTCTGCCTAGGGAAGGATCCAGCCAAGTGCTTGCTCCAAGCAGAAGGTCACAGCTGGAGGAAGACAGGGGTGAGAGGCCGTCTGGAGTGTGGGGCTCAGAGCAGAGGCCCTGGCTGTCGGGGCCTGAGGGCGGTAGGTGCCACATCACGTGTGCCTTGTAGCAGTGTTCCATCGCGTGCGTGTTCTCGCTGCACTGTTGACGAGCATTCGTGTGTTTCCTTCTGTGGACGCTGATGGACATAGTCCGCTGGTGTACTTATTTACACATTTAAGTTAGCAGTTCTCACAGTCCCCTTCCAAGAGATTGCCAAGGTTAAAACCCCTCACAGTAATACCAAGGCAGTCTTCTTTTCCCTGTGTGTTGACATTTGTACTGGAAAAACTCTTTAACACCCAACTTCTGCTGGTTAGTCATCATATTGTTTACTGCCATGCCTTACAGTATAAAAAGAATGTTAGCATCACTCAGGGATGTTCGTGATGAAGCAGCGGTAACGATTAATTTTATTAAATCTTGACTCCAGAGTAGATTTCATTTTAATATTTTGTGTGACAACAGCAATTTTGCATAAAGCCCTTCTGTTGTACTGAAGTACTAATACTAAGGTTGTCTCAAGGAAAAGCAGTTGTATGATTTTTTTAAATTGAAGTATAGTTTTTTTGGTTTTTGTTTTTCGGGGGAGATAATTAGGTTTATTTATTTTTAGAAGCGGTATTGGGGATTGAACCCAGGACCCTGCGTATGCTAAGCACGTGCTTTACCACTTGAGCTGAAGTATAGTTGGTGTACAGTAATACTATGTTTCAGGTGTACAGCCTAATGATTCACAATTTTTAAAGGTTATATTCCACTTATAGTTATAAAATATTGCCTGTATTCCCCATATTGTACAATATATCTTTGTAGCTTATTTTATACCGAGTAGTTTGTATCTCTTATTCCCTACCCCTAGATTACCCCTCCCTCCTTCCATCTCTCCACTGGTAACCACTAGTTTGTTCTCTGTATCTGTGAGTCTAAGTTTGTTTTTGTTTCGTTTTGTTTTTTTCTGTACAGATACCCAATTGTCCCAGCACCATTAAAAAAGACTTTCTTTCCTTTTTAAAAAAATTTTCTTGGGGGAGGGGAGGAAGGGAGGTAATTAGGTATATTTATTTATGTGTTTTTAAAGGAGGAGGTACAGGGGATTGAACCCAGGACCATTGTGCATGCTAGGCAAGCGCTCTGCTACTTGAGCTATACCCTCCACCCCTGTTTTTTTCTTTCTGATTTGTCATGTCACCTCTTAGCATATATGCATGGCTCTGCTTCTGAATCTCCATTTGTGTTTCATTGTTTTATCTGTTTGGATCTCTATTCTGTTTCATTGTTTTGCTTGTCTGTCTGGTCGAATGCCAGTATCTTTATCTCCAAATCGTTATAACGAGTCGTGCTGTCTGCTGGGACAGATCCTTTTATTTCACTCTGCAACAGTGCCTTGGATATTTCTTGGTCATTTAGATTCAGTTTATCAGGTCACTAAACTTTTGTCTTCCAGTTTGTTACAAGAAAATTAAATGTCCTGACATGATTTTCATTCGAATTGCATTAAATATATAAATCAATTTGGGGAGAGTCGGCATCTTTGCAGTTTCGAGTCTTACAGTCTGGGAGCATGGGTCTGCTTTCTACATTTAGTTAGGTCTTTAACGACTTGGCGAAGTTTTGTATTTTCCTTATGGGTTTTTCACTTATGTTAGATTTTCCCCATCTAAGGATTCTTTATCATTCTCCCATAGTGTTTTTATTTTCTAACTGCTGCAATTACATAGGAGTATAATTTTCTGATTATCTTGCTTAAATAGGTAATTTCAAAAGATTGCTTTTTTTTTCTGGACTTTCTATATTTTAATCTTATCCAGGCTTCACAATCCATGGCAGTTTTAGTTTTTCCTTCTCCAAACCTTGGTGCTTTTCTGTCATTATTCTTGCCTTATTATTTTGGTAGTACAATATTGAATTAAAGCAGGCAGTGTGTGATATTCTCAATTTGAAAGGAAAATTTTAAATATTACCATGTAAGTATAATATTTGCTACAAGTTTGTTGAAGATAGCCTTTGACACTTAAGGAAGATCCCTTTTTCCTTAGTTACCTTGGAAGCTTTTTGAAAACTCATAAATGAATGTTCAATCTTATCAGATGCATTTACTGCATCCAATGAGATGATCATAGTTTTTTCCACATAATTTATGGATGTAATGAAACTCATCACTTGATTTTCTAATAGTAAACCAATGTCTATTCCTGGGATAAATCCAACTTAGGTGGTGTTATCGTTTGTGCATTTTGCATCTGTATTATTCACTGAGATTATCATACAATCTTTACGTATATTTGAACCTAAACCAACCATGTACCGTTTTAAAATTATGAAGTAAATTGAACCCTATGAAGTTATCTTCAATAATGTTTCTTGCCTGAAAGTCTGTTTTGTTTTATATTTAGTAATATAATTTCACTGCTTTATTTTAAAAAGTATTTGTGTGATATATTGCGTTCTATGCTCTTTTGTTTCAGATGTGTTTCAGATGTTATAGGCTGAGTCCAATCTGCCAACCTTATTTTTTAAACTGAAGTTTTAGTCGTATTACATTTTAATAAATTATTTGTATATTTGTACTTTAAGAAAACATCTAATTTTGTGCTTTTTAATTGTGCTCCAAGATATATAAATCTTTTCTCATTAAGCTTTAAAGCTTTAAGCACTTAAAGGCCGTACTTTTTGTTATCATTCAGTTCAGCATGTTTTCTAATTTCTATTACTTTTCTTCTTTGACTCATGCTCAGTATTAAGTAATGGGTTCCTTCTTTTCCAAAATGTGGATATTTTGTGGCTATATTTTTTTATTTTGATTTCTGGCTTGTCTTTCTTTTTGGTTGGGTAGGTAATTAGATTGATTGATTGATTGATTCATTCATTCATTCATTCATTCCTAGAGGAGGTACTAGGGATTGAACCCAGGGCCTTATACATGCTAAGCATGTGCTCTACCACTTGACCTATACCTTCCCCCATACTTTAGCTTAGGGTTAGGAACCATGTGAAAAGAGCATGCTTTCTGCAGGTGCTACGTGCAGGGTTCTGTGAGTCTGTTTGGTTAGTTTGTTATTCTTCTTCAAATCTTCCATATCGTTACCAAGTTTTTAGCCTATTTGTTCTGTCAGTTACTTAGAGAACCTGTATGTAAAAATTTCCCTCGAAGCGATTGATTTTTCTCATTTCTTTGTATTTATCAGTAAGTACCAACTTCAAAGTCTTTTTACGTCCTTGTCCCACGTTTTGTCTGCGGGGGCTCCTGAAAACGCGTCTTGAGCTGCTTGGTTTCCATCATTTGGGAGACGGAACCAGCTCTAATCACATCTAGGTTATCCATGCTCCAGAATTCGAATGAGCCAGATGAAATGAAAAGAAACATAAATACTTGGAGGTGGAAGAGGGCAGGGTGCTGGGGGGGCCTTTGATTCCATTCCTCTTTTCCACGCCATTGGTCCATGCTTTGTGGAGGTGTTTCCTTCCAGCCACCACTGATGTGTTATTGAACCATCTAGTTCCTGTTAAGCAAAGGATAACTCTGAATTCCTACCCAAATTTGGTCATAAAGGGATTTCTTTCTATCTCAATTACTATAACCAGTCTGTCTGGCTTTTCTGGGGGTGGGGAATTCAAATTGAGGTCTGTCATGGTGAAGCCTTACATAGTGACGGAGGTGAGGACCTGTAGAAAAGTCAGTCTTGTCAACTCAGGGATTGTTTCCACCTAGTTGCCTTTTAACATTGATTTCTCTTTTTATCTTCAGTTATTTGAAGGATTGAAGGCATTTCGGGGAGTGGATAATAAAATTCGACTCTTTCGGCCAAACCTCAACATGGACCGAATGTACTGTTCTGCTATGAGGGCAACCTTGCCGGTACGTAAATGGAGGAGTTTCCTTGTGTTTCCCGGAATGTCGTGAATCACTGACTTTACAACCAAGCAGATCCTTTCCAAATACTTAGATTGTTAGTCAGTGTAAGCCGTAGAAATAACGTCAGTGCTCCTCATCTGTTTCTTAATCAGTGAGATTAAAATACAAGGGAATAACCAGTCCCATTTGGCAATTCCAGTGTCTGTTTCTTTATGAGTGTCTGTGGGGGTTTTATGAGTATGTGAGAGATAATAGGGATAAGGAAGAAAAATACGCCTCAAACGGAAATAAAATTTAAAGACCATATGCAATTAAAACGTGAAAATAGGGTGTTCTGCCCAGATATTTGAGGGCTGTTTTGCCTAGTGGCGCACTAGCAAGCATGCAGTGATTTAATTAGGTGTTTTGATATTTTACCCCATTTTATATATATATAAAAAGATATATAAATATATATGTATATATGGAAGTCAAAATGGTTTCTCATGACCACTGGCTCTTGGCTCCAACATTGTTTGTTAGGGAGCAGAATTCATTCTCAGGTGGGTTGGATTTAGACTAGGTCTAGGTTGGAGGTGATGACTTTCATTCCCTGAGACTTGACCAGGCTGCCTTTCTGAACTGAAGGAAGTCTTTCCCTCCTTTGACATATTTTGTTTGTACCTGACCTTCAGCTGTGCGTTGAGAAGCCCAGGTGATGAGTCCTTTGTAGCTAAGCTCTTCCTTCTCCTTACTTTTATAACCCATGCTCCACCCACCTCCTTCAGAGGCCATGTATAGTAGCAGAAGGGAATTCCAGGAATTTCTTTGGACTAGGTCCTAGTTTTACTCATCTGCTATTACAGACAAATCATTGGGAGATCCTGTAAGATGGACACAGAGGGAAGGGAAGTCACACTTATCAGACATCACCTGCCACAAACTGTGGTATGGGGTTTTATATTCCTTGTCTCTTAAATCATAACAGTAAGCCATTGTCAAGAAAGTATATATTGTAAATTTTAGCAGTACCTTTGTGCGGAGAGGAAAACTCCAGCCCAGAGAGGTTAAAGGACTTGCGTAAAATTACACGGAGCAAAGGGACAGGGTGAGAAATTGGCTGCAAATTTTTGTATCCGTAGTCAAGTTCTATCCACTAAATTTACGTCTGAACAGTAGTATCAGAGACCCCGCAAATGACAGCAGAGTAAGGGTATGCCCTGCATGACTGGCAGTCCCGATTTCTGTAACATTGCTACCTTGTGACTGCTGTTGGAAGTTAGGACTTAAATAGCCAAACTCTGATGTCATGAGCTCTATTCAGATGTGTGTTTCTAACTCATTTCTACCTTGGATAACCCATCACATCTCTGAAAGCATGTTTCTTTGCCCTGCCAAGTGAGTAGCATCTACTTATTTTTTTAATTTAATTTAATTTTTTTAATAGTTTTATTGAAGGATAGGCAGTTTACAATGTTGTGTCAATTTCTGGTGTACAGAACAATGCTTCAGTCATACATGAACATACATATATTTGTTTTCATATTCTTTTTCACCATAAGTTACTAAAAGATGTTGAATACAGTTCCCTGTGCTGTACAGTATAAACTTGTTGTTTATTTATGTATACTAGTTAGTATCTGCAAATCTCGAACTCCCAATTTATGCCTTCCCACCCTCTTTCCTTGCTGGTAACCATAAGTTTGTTTTCTATGTCTGTGAGTCTGCTTCTGTTTTGTGAATAAGTTCATTTGTATTTTTTTTTTTTTAGTATTCCACATATAAGTGACATCATATGGTATTTTTCTTTCTCTTTCTGGCTTACTTATTTTACATACTGTCACCCGTCTAGTCTATGAAAACCTTTTCCACCTTAGAAATAAACTGCTCTTTACTTTCACCCATTTTCCTATTGGGTCATCTGTCTCTTTCTTACTGATTTGCTGGTCGTCTTAACATATTCCACTTACCATCCTTTGTTGGTTATACTTTACAAAGAACTTCTTCCAG